ATATATATATATACGTATATATATATATACGTATATATATATATATATACGTATATATATGTGTATATATATACGTATATATATATATATATACATGTATACATATATTTATATGCAGAAATTTACGTTTGCAATGAAGGAGTCAACGGTCTTAGTTCAACTTGCATTAGTGGTAGAAAATTGATGCAAGCCGAATTAAGACGGACATATTCCATCAAAAGCAGATCGACAGAAATATCCTTCACCGCAGCGTTCTGCGAACGAAGCGGTTTCGGCACAAAGGTAATGTGGTGCCGTAGCTCAGCCCGCATCAGTTTTATACCGTTTAAGCTTATCAATAGGCGAAGCGCAACATCCAGTAATAATAAAAAATTTTCCAAAAAGCATGCTAATTAAGAAAAAAAAAAACTAGATACAGAAAGATGCCTACCAACTGAGAGAAACCCATCCACCGTTCGGCATTAACTGTTGAAATGTTTCACTGTGTTCAACGTTTGCAGCTTCACAGAAGGCGTTTGCAGTTTTTACTGGTGCGAATCTGAAATAGATCAGATAGAATTGTGCGCCATCTAACTCTCCGGAATGCCTTCTGCGGCCAAAGAGTGTTGAGGAAGAACTTGATATTACGCGATACAGGCACCCAGTTCATTTGACCGACCGTACGTCTGAGTGTGCCTTTCCCTGTCTTTGAGTTGGCGGTGGGGTTTTGTCTCTTCCTGCGTCTTTTTTTGCACCGGCATATTTCAGACCTCTTTTTGAAAGATGGCGCACTCAGAAACATATTGCCCCTTCCCATGCCTCACCGCATGCTATGGAGAGTAGAGCGAAGAGCAACCACTCGGGCTGTCGGCAGCTGTTTTGCACTAGAAATACTTGACGAGGGGGTTGACTAGCCAGAAGAGCAGTTGGACGCAAGAGCACTGCTTTCTCCACCGATACTGATTATTCAGAAGAAGCAGTCCACCAAATAGGCCGAGTTCTCCCCTTTGAAAGTTGAGAAGCCGTCGGAGCCAGCTGGCGCCGTTCAGCCGTGTGCAGTTGTGCTTCCTCTCGCGCCAACTTTCATTCCTTTAAAAGTGCCTTCTTTGCAACATTTCGCATGTTACAGAGGCCGTGCCGGCTCCTATGCAATTCAGGCGCGTGGCGCGATATTCGTGGAACACATCGATGGCTGCTATTACAATGTGGTCGGACTGCCGATCAACAGCTTAATGAAGAGACTCTGGAGCAGGGTGACAGCCATCAGCTACTCCCCCCCACACTGATTCCCAGGACACCGTACACCGTTTCTGCTGTTTGTCACGAGCTCTCTCGCAAATGAATAAATCGGCGCGACTATCCGTCCCTCACACAGTCTTGCTGAGCCTGCATCTACAGCTAGCGCCACAAGCAGTTCTGAAGCGTCAGCCGTACTCAGTAGGCGCGCTACTCAGTGCCCCCACACCGTTAGCAGAGTGGTGTGGATGGAGTTTTGAATAGGTTCATTGGTAGAAGAGGTTTTTGTAGGCCATTTGGCACTGGGATCTGCTGCTCAGCACGCTTCGGAGGCTCAAAAAAGCATTGGAGGTGAAATTTCGCAGCGCTGCCTGCTACGCCACGGTAGCGCATCTGCTTGCAGATGCAGCCAGTTTCGTTTCCCGCACGCACGCAGAAGTGCAAGTCTCAAGATGGGCACAATGCAGCGCTCAAATGCTAAATGTTACTGCTCAATTACCGCTCCGACATTACACTGGCACCTCCTGAGCACAATACACCCCGACAGCACAGCCGCTCCCGTCCCGTAACTGCGCACAGAGACGGTATGCACCAGGACTGGTCCTCGTATTTGCGTGACGTAGTGGTCGTAGCTCAAGGGAGAAATGCGTGTGCGGGAGTGCTTCGCAAGCTGGCCAGAAGGCGCGCGCCAATAGCAAGCTGCGATACTTTGTGAGAGCAGCTGCACAAGACTGCGCTGCATGCAGTGCCAGTCAAGCGCACTGAGGTCACCGAGCTGTGGAGGAAGAAGGCAACTAATTGCAACGCAACGGCGCAGCAGCGGCACCGCTATTCAGCGAATCGCCTTGCTGCTGCTGCTGCTACTACAACTGCAGTTGCGACAAGTGACGGAACGAGCAGCGTTTGGTGCGGGGCCAGAATCGGTGCGCCTGCGCCCAGAGAGAGATCGAAGCGGTACGCGCAGAGCAGCTCGTCGAATTTAGGAACCAAAAAACATTCGCAGCGCAGAAGCGCGGCAAAATCAAGGGTCCCACTGATGGAGGCCCCGGTCAGGTGAGTGCCATTCAAGAAAGTAACACTGAACAAGAAGAAACTTCATATTCATTTGACAGGCAAAACTGTACAACAAATAACAGACACTGCTTTAGTTTCGAACAGATAACAATAAAACATGATAAAAGAGATGTGCTGCAGAGCAATCTTCAACCAACCATCCAACAATGCTGACTCGCCAACGGATCGCGACAAGCAACCGCCGAGTGGCGCAAGCGGCAGCAATGCCAGTGAGGCATTCACGGGGGGAAGTCATATCGCGGTCGTGGCTCAAAACACTATTAAAAAGAAACAAGCCTCATCAAAAAAAAAAAAATTAGGAATTAAACACAAGTACAAGCAACCGGTTACTGAAAATGTCAATAAAACCCGCAAACGATAAAAATGAAGCATCACGGGGTACTTAAAACTAAAATAAATATTTATAGGCGGATCGACTAGAAGATGCATCACCGTTTCAGTATTGAAGAAAAACAGAGGCGCGCAACAGAGTAGCCGGGTGCGATCATCGTTTTGCGCAGCTCTGCCCAGCGGATGCTCACCGCTATGATTTTTCACTACTTCGCAGTTTGGCGCGTGCAAAAATAGTCGAGAAGTTGCGTAGTTCCTGCACTGCAAAATTTCCCACCAAAAATTTCGCATGCTCATGCGTGGATTGTATGTGACGGCTAAATTTAAGTAAATAGGGTTGCGCATGAATAGCAAACACCCCCAAAAAATTTTACCTACCTTATTTGCTTTCTGAGCTAAAAATTCTCCAAGAAAGTTTTACGTACCCGTCCGAGGAACTTAAGCGAATATGAAAGCTGGATTTGAAATCCCAGGTTTGCCTATCAACAGCAATTATCATCCTAAACTTACAGGTTTCCATCCCGCTCGATTTGCATAGCAGAAGATTTCGCGACCATGCACCCACGTGCCTGCAACGTAAGACCTAGCCGTGTTCG